TCACAATGTATGATATTCGTTATTGTTCTCCATTACCTCCTTTTCCGCATCTGACCTTGCACGATGACCGCTGAAACGAACATCTGTGGGTGTGTTAACTGCATTACTTTCATCTTCTTCCGGCTCGAATGTGTCTCTTAATAATGATAATAAAAATAAAAATTTCGTCAGTGAGATCACCCCCCTTTAAAATCAGCCTCTAAAAAGCTTGTGTAATGTATTAGTACTATTTAATTTTTCGGTGAGTGTTGGTGGTTCTCTTGGAATACACATTTCTAACAAGCAATTTATCTGTAACTAGGCTTAAAGTCGATAAGGAGGCGATGCGTTGAAATCGGCTGGGAGGAACTGCACCGGACAGCAACACGTACGTGGCTTCAGCTTCACGTCGAGCGCACGAGTCCTGTTCAACAAAACATTATGTTCAATGTGTCGCGAGTAGTATATATACTGACCCTTTGCGGGGACACGAGCTGTCGCGTAGTCCGTATCCAAGGTTGTTCAGCTGCGCTGCCGTTGCCGGTGTCTGTCGCATGATCTGTTTATGTATTTGCTGTGTGGGAGAGTATTATTTTTCTTCCAGATTGTGTACTTCCTTAGGTAGCATCGTGTTCTTCCTTAGGTATGTTCCTCTGTTCTGTCGCATGCGCTTCTGCACGTAGAAAGGAAGTTGTTGGACGTTGTTGCCCAGTATCAGCTCATCACTTCCTTCAGTGTCGCCGTGAAACAGAAACAGTACACCTCATAAAGTGTGTTGTGTCTCTTATAATTTAAACCCTTCACATGAGTGTTTAATACCAATGCACATACTTCTTTCATTCCCTATTTTGTTTTGAAATGTGTATTTAACGTTCGAGAAATAAATTGTCATTACACACCCAAGAATAACTCGTAGCTTTCAGATAAACATAATTTACTATTTTTTTCTTAATTAAATGTAAAATAGCGACCATTCTTGTCTAAAACATTAATTCTACCTACCTCAAAAACTACTTTTTACCGTTACCCCCAATACGATACTTACAGGGGTCGCTATATGACCTTAGTAGTTAAAAAGCGACCTTAAATAAGTAAAAAAAAAAAAGGATTTTTCAGCACTATCAAACATTTCTTTTCTGTTTAAAAATAAACATCAAATTCGGCCTTCCAAGTCCACCCATTGATAAAACGGTGTTTTTTCTAAGCACTTGATCATCGTAAGGTACCTCGTATGTCTCCTTTCGGCGTTATCCAAACGAACAGGAACAAAGCGTGCTCTTGACCCATGTATCATGGCGTCTGACACTGAGCTTCATTTGTTTACATGTGTCCTGGTGGAAGACTTCAATTTACGTCAGATTAATGATTGAAAGTTGACTGTGATAAAACTGTCACTAGTCTTAATCAAGTGGTTGACCGTTACAATAATTGTTAATTGAAGATATATAAATGCAAAAAAATACAGAAACCCTTCAGCAACATTTGAAGATAATCAAGGCAGATCGAATAAATTACCGATTTTTCGTAACGTATGTAAAATTGTATGACGAAGTAGAAGTAGTTCTTAGTTGAAAGACAAAACACAAAAATGCTTTAAACGAGTTGCTCAATCTGTTTGAAATCCAAATATACGTCAATTAGAAATCAACTTTTTGTTTGTCTTTTGATGCCAAACAAATCCTTATTTTCCGCGCACATCCAGTTTTCAGAAGTGATGTATGTGTACTTTATGTTTCATGTACTTAATTATTCCTTTTAGATACTCCAGGTAATGTTGAGAGGAAAACGTTTATGTATTAATGGAATGATTATACCTTGAGCATGCTGCTGTGGATATCTTGTGAATGGCATGTGGGAATGGAAATCAGTACAAGCTTAACGCTCCTAATCCCAATCTATCCACATCCTGTTTGCTTTCTTGAGGATCTTGTGCAGCTAATATTTTATTAAGAATTACTAAATTTGTTTAAATATTTACAAAAGGCTTCATTGATACTTAATATTTTATTATTTACGATATAGCACGACGCTCTTGCATGATTCATGAATTTAAAATATTTCTTATTTTAAAGTGATTTATAGTATTATTTATTAATCATATTTAAGGTAATGTTTTAGGTAAAATTCATTCATTCGTCAAAATGCCTAAATCACTGAGATTTCTTTTCTTTTGCATCCTTATAAATAACATGTGCACAATTTTTTCTAATATAGATATTAACTACCATGTGGAATCTCATTGATTTCTGCATAAGTAATTTCACTAATCATTTGGTCATTGAATTTAAAAAATGTGTCCATTACATGTAATTTGTCCTTCGAATCTTTGGCGAAACACATGTAGATTAGCAAAGTTGGCCAATTTCCTTTCAATGTAATTAATGTTTATATCTTGAATGTAGATAACTTTCTATTGAGCCTGAAATTATAATGTACAAATAATTGGAGACATAATTACTTTTAAAATATTCGCCAAAATTCGAAACTAAAACAAGTCCATTGCCGATTATGAATCCATTCCAATCCGAAACCATAGTTGAAGTTGTTGTTTTTGTGGCTTCTAGGGCGCAAGTGCGAGCTTGTGAGGCTCAAAAAATAAACAATGCAAAAAATATTTCTTGAATATGACATATATCTTTAGTGGGTGTCCAGTACTCATTTTTCTCTATAGGAACTTTCTGATTAACGTCCGTTGAATTTCGTTGGATTGGTTTTGGAGATGATATAGCTCATAACCTAAAATTTATTTCAGTATTTTTCTTAAAAAAACGTGTTTGTAACTATTTGTCAAAAGTTATTTAATTACCGTAATATGTCAATTTGTTTCAACCGTCGTTCTCCTTACTACACTGATAGTTAAGGGAGCTAGGGAAATGGACTTGTTGGGTTGTTTCTTTCTTAATTTGGAAATGTGTTCGTGTGCGTGAGGAGCGTCATGTTTGGCCCTTCCCCGCCCGCGGAAAGCGCCTCGCCTAGCCCCGCCGCCCAGAGCCGAGTCAACTACCTACAAGGCGTCCAAAGAGAGCCCATTCTCCTGCTTGTCAATAGCGATGCAAAGCTCTACAGTTCTTGTTTTCTGTAATTATTAAATTCGATTCGACATCGATTAGAGGGTTATATTAACTAATAATTATGAAGTAATACGTTTTTATATACACCGCAATCAAATTGTAATCAAACACTTCAAACTAAAACGTAGTGTCTCAGTGCAGAACACGTATAAAGCAATCACACTCTGTAAATCAATCTCTATGAATGTTTGATAACTATTTTTGCGTAACACAAAACTAAGAATCCAAAATGAGTTTAAAATTTCATTAAATTCACACGACAAGTAAGAAATTGCAACATTATGTACTTGGCTCTCCGGAAGACAGCGCGTCCTAGGCACAGATGCGGCCATCATGCTGAGACCTTCCTCAGGGCGAAATACCCGGATATGGACTGCGCACGGGTTTCTAAAGAGTGAGGCTAACGCTTTATAAACCCACCTGCAGGAACTCTCACCCTGAGGAAGGTCGCAGTACGACTGCCGAACCGTTGGCAACTGTGCCTAGCAAAACGCCATTTCCCAGTTAGACAAATCCATACTGTTGGTACTTGGCCGTCCGGGAGACGCCGCGTCCTAGGCACAGGAACCAACGTGCAGTCGCACTGTGACCTTCCTCAGGGCGAGAGTTCCTGGAGGCCGGTTTATAAATAGCGAGCCTTGCTCTTTATAAACCTGTGCGCAGTCCACGTCCAAGAGGAAGGCCGCGGAAAGGTGGGTGAAACGTTGGCACCTGCGCCTCGGACGCGGAGAGCCAAGTCCATACCGTCTCCGCGCGCGGAGGCCTATGCTCTCAAATGTCAACCTCGGGCCGTTGTCGGCGTGGCGGGGTGTGGCGGGGCGCGTCTCGCGGTCGGGAAGAGGCGTGGCGCGCCGGCGGGGAGGGGAGGCGCGCCGGGCGTCGCCGTCTGACGAGCGCGCGCGCTTGCCCGCAGGCTCGCGCCGGCCCAGCCTGGCGTCCATCCACAGGCAGCGCAGCTCGTCGCGCTCCATGAGCTCTCGGCGCGCCGCTCGAGCGCGAGCACAGCAGCGCGAGGCGCGCCAGGCCAGCTGGCGCGCAGGCGCAGGCGGCGCTGGCGGTGCGCGCGCGCAGGCGCAGGCGGCGGCGCTGGGAGGCCGCCGGCGAGGCGGCTGCGGCGGCGCGGCCGCCGCGCCTGGGCTGCGCTCCGACCCTCCGCCCGCGCGTCGCCCTCGCCGCGCACGCCCATGTCCACCGACGAGCTGCTGCCTCCGTCTCCGAGGTGATGAGGACTGCCGCGCGCTTGCGCCCCCCTCTCCCCTACGGCCCTTCCCACGGCGCGCGGCGCGTAGCAGAGCATTGGTTGAATCGGAGGCCTTCCCACGTGCAGCGGGTGGCGGCTGCTGCGGCAGCCGACGCCGAAATCCAGCTACGCGAAGCGGAGGAGGGCACGCGCCACGGCTAGCAGAACCAGCTTTAAATGGGAGCCTTCCCACTGCCGCCACGGCTCCGCAGCGTTCTACCTGCTCCGGTCCCTTTGTTCGTCGTCGCCGGAGGGTCGGCGAAACCTACCCCTCCACCCCAAGCCTTCCACGGCGGCGGCGTGTGCGGCCGTGGCTCCGGCGGTGCTGCGTCGGAAGGGCTCTGCTCCTTGAAGGAAGCGCGCCGCGGTCGCGCCGTGGGAAGGCGCCCTACCCGGCTAACCCTCTTGCGAGCGGCTCTTTCGGCCTCACGTGTGCTGGGCGACTCATGTAGAATTCTTCACTGCAAAACCCGGCTTAGGCGACTCATAAATCAATTGATGTCACTTCACTGCCAGTGACCTGGACGTCCTAGGGTTCCAGGGTTCAAATCCCGACGGAGGCAGAATTTTCGATACTCACTATTTCGATTCACGAAAAATCCAGGTTTTCGACCTCTCCCTCGTGCGTATTCCGCTATCTTCAAGAAACTGATAAGAAAAAAAAACAGTTTACTTTCCGACCTACTGTGTACTTACATACACGTGTATAGTGACGCTGACACGTGTATAGCTACACATGTATAGTGACGCTACTACCCGAGTCAGGAAACCCAGATTTCCATTGAAAGCCCTGCAGCTTAGCGGTCCGACGACCGTGCTCTGTAAGCAAAACACACGCTTACTCGGCTTTGCCCTAACCGCGAAGCTAAGGATTTGCCTGGAAATGAAGGAGAACATAACAGCAAGGGGTTTCATTAAATCAAGAGAAAAAAGAGAGGAGTTAATTTTTAAAATGAACTTAATAGGCAAAATTATAAGAGAAGAAAATAAGAAACATTTGATGGATAGGATATGGATATGAACAAATTGAATTAAAAGGAAAGTAAATAACACGTTATAAATAATTAAAACACGACTCTTCTCTTAGTCCGACTCACATCACTTCATTGATCCTTCTCGGTTGTGGGAGGCATTCTGAAGAATATCCTCCGACGTTTTAATTTCCCTGGCTGCTTGTGGCGGTGGTCTTTACGGCAGGGAGCGGTGAGATTACCTCTCTGAGGCCAGCGGCCGGCCCGGCTGCGTGAATGGCACCGGGCTGGCGGCTACGAGATGAGCCTTTTCTGCGTGCTGTCGCGGTGCCTCGGTGTCGCGTTTCGTTGGAAGTTTACTCGGGACGCGCCGGAAATGCGGTCGGCGGCAGAGGAATTTCAGTTCAGCTCACGGTCGCGATAACTCACGCCTTGCTCGTGAAGCGGTCTTTAATCACCCGATACTTTCATTTACGTTACAGACTACCCGTCTAAATCTGGTCGGAGTGATCCGGCGAAATACTGGCTCTCATGAGAAACAAAGTAAACTCAACCATGTACAGAGATATTCCGCTCCGATCTACTCCAGGCGAATGCCGGAACCGGTGGCCGATCGGCGTTATGCCTTTCGCTGCGGGTGTGTTGTGCTACCAGCAGTGCTTACAGGAAATTACAAATGCTTCCAGTACAGGATGCAAATATATTGAGTTCGCAGGGAAGCTAAGTTCCCTGGTGGAGAGTGGTGGCGAGCGAGGTTTCAAGTACAGAGGCCGAGACCAATGAAGTACGAAAAAATAGGTTTACCCCGCCCACACCTCATCGGTCTACGCTCAGCCGATGATTTTCAATAATGCGAGAAAGTATGTGATGTTGTACTAGCAGCAATTGCTTTAACTAGCAATTTTACTTTATGTTAGACCAAAGTTATACAAAGGGATTCTCTTCAAAAATTAATCATTTTGTTCAGAGAGTTCAACGAAAATGAGACCAGCGTCATTTTTATAAGCCGTACCTGAGGAAACAATGTTGTTCTAAAATTTGGAGCCATTTTGGGAAAATTTTGAAAATTCTTGTAATGGATTCATGTTAAGTACTCTCTGAAATTGGGCTTGCGATGTTCTCAGATGGATCGGCGAACACACGTTTTGCCAATTTTTCGATATCAAATACCCAGAAAACTGTATTCTGCCTTCACAGCTCATGAGAGGAAGGGATACTACATGTAGGAAAAAGATTTATCCACTTTTTCGATATCTGGGCCCCGCAATATTAGTTTGTTTTTCTTTTATTTTTGTTGTATTTTAACGAAAATTTGCCACTTTTTGCCACAACATTGCAATACTTTCTCTTTACTACGTAAGTTCGTTGTAGGATAAAGGGATATAATTGCACTCATGGTAAATAAGAAAACTCGCTCTTATTGACGCTTGTTTTCTTGAACATACCACTCATGCAATTATACTCCTCTTTGTCCACTCGTTTCGTTAAGTACTATAATACACCATTTTTAACGGCGGTAGATTTTGCGCAATTTAGAGTTTTGTGGTGAGAAAGTTCTTTTTCTTCGAACCTGATTTTGATCATCTCAGGGGGTGTACAAATATTTGAGTTAGTATCTGATAAGAAGGTTGTTGATTATATGACTTCATGTCTCTTAAAGCACAGGTATAAACTAATATTAATTAAAATACCAGGAAAGTGTTGTAGATACTCTGTTGCTTTCTTCTCCACTTGCGCACCAGAGCCTCCTCATCCGGCACAGCGACGTTCTAATGGAACACGTTCGGGGGCCGCTCTAGTGGTCCGGGGCTTCGGTGATAGAAGTTAACATATCAGGCTGTTGTATCCAAGTTTGCAGGTTTGAACCCGATCGAATCCATGGATTTTTAATGGTGAAAATGCTTTGTACGCCTTCTTTCGCAAGGGAAGTAATGCCGGCTGTCCCATGTTGAAGATTTAATGCATGTAAAAGGTCCTCAAGTTTAAAAGAAGCCCCTGCGCTGTTTTCGCCCGAATGATACCTTCTTTCTCCACTAGACGGTGAAAGGAGCGTAACTAAAATTTGTGTGGTCAGACGAAATAGTAGGTCTGGTGTCGCCACGTAAAATTAGGCCTCATCGAATTGAATCGAATTGAATCGAATTGAATCGAATTGAATCGAATTGAATCGAATTGAATCGAATTGAACTGAATTGAATCTGTTGCAGGAGGAGACGGCCACCCCTATCCTGAGCCATCGGGCGACGTGCTCCACGTACCAGGGGGAGATTGGGCCGTGCACGTCTTCCGACACGCCGCACTAGCTGCTGGCGATCGCAGTGGCCATCGCCACCGCCACCGCCACCGCTGCCGCCGCCGCCGCCGCCGCCGCCGCCGTCGGCGCCTCTGCCTCCCCCGCCTCAGAATCGTACACGCTAACACCACACATATTATTCCATGCATCTTTTTTTAAGTATATTTTTGCAATCTTGAACAGGCTTTTGGTCTATTTTTTTATTTGTTTTTGAAACGTAAAACCAGTGTGAAAAAAAAGAAACTTTTTGTGAATACTCACAAGTTCTTGGCCCGTGTAATCATAACTCACAGTGTGTACGCATTTCAAATTGTCGATAGACCTTCATGTTTACCGTGTGTTATCTGTTAGTGTCAAAATGAACATCAAGTCACTGGTGCCTACTGCTGGAATACTGAATTCAGTGTTGAAAGTACATATAAATTAAAATATTATAGATATATATACAAATAGGTGTATGTTTATACACTTTCTTCTGTTATATTGCAATGGACTTGCAACGCCTGGACTTAAATGTGAATGGAAGAGAAAATTGTTACCTCGACCTACAAAAGAATCCTCCGCCTGGATGTTTCTACTGTGCAAGAGCTTACTCGAAACATATTGTTTTCCTTGCCTCGTTCCTGGTCAATGCGCTTTAATCTCCGTAATATTTATATGTGAGTTTCATTGTGTCAACTTTGGAAATGCACTGCGTCTTCGTTGACGAACCTGTTCTGTATTCTTCATTGAAATTGGATTTAGCCGACAGAGAGAATAAATTCTTCCCGATCTGAGACTGATACTGAATCGTGTCGAGTCGTGCAATTTGCTGGGCGTGAGGAACGTTGTCACGCCATGGCAGTACCTGACTGTTCAAGCATTCGACTCCATCCTAAGATATATCTACATAGGTTGCAAAAGCAACGGATTTTAAATGTGCAATAAAAATTAATATTATGTAACAATAAGGAGAGCTCATCGCCTTTGATTAGTCAATGAAAATGAAATTTTGAGGGAAGGAAGAAAGAAAATATCAACTTTTCTCATAACAATGTGTTATTTTTCCGTTTCGTTCTGTCATCTTGGCTTATTGCCATCTGAACTACAACTTGACACAAAACACGCATACGAGTATTTCCTCATGAAATAAAATGTTGATATTATCCGATAAAATTATTCAAATATCTGTGTAAAAAGATAACACGCACAAATGATATTAATTTCCACAATAAAAGAAGACAGTTCATAGGCTAGAGATGTTAGCAGCAAGTAAGAATTCAATTGTTGACCCTACATTATTTTCTAACACTGAACTTGAAAGCAATTGAGTATGAGAAACATTGTGTGCATATGTTAAACTTATAAAAGGTAAGCCTTTTCCAGAAAATTGTCTTCGAAAAAGTTTTCAATGGACGGAGATGCAGGTTTATGCTCAAATTCTTCAAAATTGTGTTATCCTCAGTGTTCAACACAGGTACCAGTGGTGGAATTCTGTCTTCTCTTGAAATAATGTCAATATAAAGCAAAATAATATCTCACGAACGTTACATCTTGTTGGATCTTGTGCATGTTATAAATTTCTGCAAGATGGGGGATGAAGTGGAGTTTTACGTTCCGTAAAGCTCTGGGGAATCGCAATATAAGATGCTCTTAATATAGGAAATTGAGAATTGCCAACTTGTCCAATCTAGATTCTTTTTGGAGGAAATTACTTCTATGCGTACAGCGTTTAAATTCCTTATTTTACTATGTATGTTGAAAAGAAACCCGTTCGAAACGTTTAGGTTTTTGCACGAAGAAAATGACACTCATTGAAACTTGCTGCATACTTTCTCTTTCTAGCAAAATGGCACCCATAACATTGAGGTGATGAATAACTACAAACAATGTAGTGTAGTTAATATTCCATTGTTTGGGTTGGCGGTGCATTCCGTCCTCCAAGAGAGATGTTGGTTGTTTCTTCAACCCGTCCTAACAGTTAACTTTGTTAAGTTTTCGGCGGAGTAAAATTCTGCCTCGTTAGGAATTTCTTTAATGGTCCTAGAATGTCATAAAGTGGCAAAATTGGGCTGACAAAATATGCAAGATATTTAAGAGCCGTCCACTTCTTCCTGGATAGTTAATAAATTCAGCTGGCGACATGATCGTGTTCAGCGATCGTTCTAATTCTTCCAATTAAATAATCAAATAATGTAGTATGCTTGGAACGGGTTTCGATTGAACACGCTTGACATTGTGAATTGAGAAAGTTGTTGGTTTCTTTCAAATGGCGAATCACTTTACCTCCAATTATACTGAATATTGTATTCTGCCAGCAATAACATGTGTCACATACTATAGTATTCATTAGTATTGTTCAGGCCATAACTAAATCAGGGCAACAGGGACAGTGCGCTAGGGCTCCGAGATTAGGGAGTCTCCAAGTGAGAAAAAATAAATCTTTTTTTATATATATTTAAGACTTTATTTTAAAAATCAAAGAAA